GAATGTCCTTAAAAATGCTAAAAATGATATTATGCAAATTAACTTTCATCATTTGAGCCTTGATGTTGATGTTGAAAATACTGAGGTGAGTGCGGAGGGTGATCTAAATTCCATGGTTGTTCTATTTTCTCTATTGGAGATGTTAAGTAGCCTCTTGAAGATGGTTTAGGAAACATATTATCTTTCACTAAAGGAAAAAAATGCCAATTTATAACGGCCACTTACCACTAGAAAATGTCCTAAATCCACCAAAAAAAAAAATTATGTAGATTTCTTTTTGCCAGTGTAATGCTCGTTGGAAAGTGGCCTAATGTGGAAACTTTTCACAAGAAATTTTTTTGACGATGTAACAGTAGAATTTTAGCATTAAAAAGGCAGAATAATGTTGTATTTTAATCTAAATTACCTACGAATATTCTACTTGTAATTATGACAAATTTTTTCTCTGTAATTGGTAAAATAGTTGTCCATCATAATTTCACTGGTAATATTGACTCAAATGTTCAATGACCAATTGCCAAAAATTTGGACGAAACTTATCTCAAAAAGTTATGGAAGAAGCTTCTTTGGGAATTTTGCCAGTAATACTGGTTGATAACGATTTACAGAAATAGATCATGAAACTCTTTTTTTTTTTTAAGGAAAGCAATTAAATTTCATTAATAAAAGGAAAAAAATCACAAACTAGAACCATAGTCTGATTCCTCCTTTAACAATTGATTAAAGAGAAGAGGAATCTTATTCAAAGATAATTCATCCCAACAAAAATTGCTAAAGAGTGCATAAATAGCACATAAAAACAAAAAAATTGAAATCTTTTAAAAAAGCAAGCTCATCCTTCTAATTACCTCTCAGATTTTTTAAAAATCTGATTATGTTGGGGTTATCTCCTTCAATGATTATCCCTTTGTAGCCTTCCACCCAATCTTTTTAATGTCTTTAAGCATTTGAACTGACAAAATCTCAAGAAATGAAATGTCCCAATGAATACAAGTGAATCCACAGGCTATAAGAAATCTTCCTATACAATCTTGGATTACACCTCCTACTCCTCGTTTTTAAGACTTTGACAAAGATGCATCCACATTAATTTTGATCCACTCAGGTGGAGGGGGTACCAATGATTAAATAGTTTATTTCACCGATTAATACCCCAGTGGCCCAATTTCTTGCTATCTCCCATAAAAGATACTGAAGCATACCAAACAAAATTTATTACAATTACCAAAGCACTATCATCTTTTCCTCCATGAAGAAACTGGTTCTTTGCACGCCAAGAGAGATAAACTACATTACAATAAATATTAATAGTGAATCTTTGATTATCTGAACATAATTCCATCCATTTCCAACACTCTTGAAATGAACCAAAAATAGGGAATCCAAAACCCCATTTGTTGATAAAATTCACCACTTGAATCAGCTTTATACATTTGACAATGATATGATCTATGTCTTCTCTCACATTGCAACCTCTTGGACACCCAAACTCCTCTTGAATTCTTCTTTAATAAAGGAAATTAAAAGTAGGAATAACATTATTAAAAATACGCCACCAGAAAACTTCCACCTGATGTCTCAACCTAACTTTCTTAAGGAATTCCCAATATATATAAGATTCCTCTCCCATGATCGAAGCTTTGTAAGTTTAAGCAGAAATGGACAGACCCGATTTAAATTGTATAAGCTCCAACTCATCTTCAACCTTAATTGGACTTTTACAAATTAAAAATACATGCTCTTCTCCAAAGAGATATTTTAATTTCTCTATATCCCACCTACCATCCATAATAAGCTTGTCCATAGTTAAATCTATTTGATCAGGATTAGCCATATACATTGGCAATAAGTTTAGAATTTTTTCTAAAATCCAAATGTCATTTTAAACTCCAATAGAGGTTCAGATCCTATCTTCCACCTTACAACATTCTTTAAAAAATTCAAACCATTGGTAATGATTTTGAAGAAAGAGCTCCCTTTTCTTCCACTGATTTCTCCACTGTGAATAATTGCCAAACTCTTCATATCATCATTTTTTTATGGTTTTTTGGCAAAAAATACATCAGAAACCTGCACCATCACATTTGTACAATCATAGTTAATCAAAATAATTTGTTTCAACATTTCTACAATCACATTTTGACATCGCACAATAATATTAATGCTAAAGTAACCATACATTTAATTAAAAACAAATGTTCAAATACTTCTATAATAAAGGTCCAGTTCTTATACAATAAAAACTCAACATAAATTTTATAAACACATGTAGTCTAGTCAAAATTTGTATTATCATTCTCCTTCATCACTGTTGGCTGCTTTCCACTAAACTGCCCCCCATTTTCTATTACTCCCCTAATATTTTACTTTGCTGCATATGCATGTCAACTTGTGATTTTTGAACATTTTCTTACTCTGATTTCTAATATCCATATCACACATGAGCAATGAAGACCGACATATAAATAGATAAATAATTGTTCTCCATCTAATCATAAAAATGTTCTTAATAACATAGAGGGAACTTCCCAGCAATATTCCACTCTCCCGAAAAGTATATTAGATATACAAAACATATATCATGATTGAATATTATTAATTTTTTAGGCCAAGTGATATTTATAATAAAATAAAAAGTATTAGCTCCATGATCATCATATAGAAATACTCTACATAAGGCATATATTATACGATTACATTAATATGAAATAAAACAAATTTTTTTATCAAGATTATTGAATATCTTAATATAATCATAAATTACATCCATAATTCATTTTTTCTTAATCAATTATTGTTAATGTTATTGGATTAATATGTGTATTAGCAAGTTTGGCCACCACTTCAAGCAAAGTATTCGATCATCTTTCTTCAAGAAATATTACACTTAGTGGTAGCATTGGGCCATATAGACCTTCAAAGCCTAAAATGAAAGCATGTAAATAAATAAAAATAAACATATTTGATATGTCATAAAGTATCAAATAGCATAAATATTAACAGGTCTGTACTCTATGTTTTGAGTTAAGATTATTATCCATATTAACCACAGTTGAGATGGTTGGGTAATTTGGTTTAGACAAAGCTACAAGAATTTTAGTTAGTGGTTATTAGACTTATTACCTTCTATAGCTAATTCAATGAACTGGTGATGAGTTGAGTGCAAATTTGAATGCTGACTTAGTTGCATTTTCTCTTATAACTCAAACTTAGTAACTTGAGATAATGACCACACGGAGCTCAACTCCAATTTATTATATAAGATGTCATTTAGGCTGCCAATATATCGTGCAATGATTTGAATACTTGACTCATTGAGATTGTTACATGCACTCAACCAATAGAATTCTTCTGTATATTCACTAACAGAACAAGCTCCTTGCAAAAATACTGATATTTCATGTAAAGTATTTGCTCAAAATTAGTGGGAAGGAAATGAGCCCTCAAAAGCTATTTCATCTTATACCAACTACAATTCCATCATTTCCCCTCTTTGTGTCTCAATTGCAAAAATTGTGCCCACTAAGCACTAGCACCTTCTCTCAACCTACAAGCAACATACTTCACTTAGTAGTTCAATTAAACCTCTATGTAATAAAAGAAGATCTCAATGACATGTTCCTAGTCCTAGTAGTATTCGATGAGAAAATGTCCATTAAGAATAAAATCAGTACAACAATAAAAACAACAACATCAAGCCTTTGTCCCACTAGATGGGGTTAGCTACATGAATCCTTTTTTGACATTTAAAGGATTCATGTCATGATTATTTGACAAATTTTATGCTGGTTGTTGACTACCTAATGCAAACCTCCACATTTCTCATCCAGGACTAGCGACCTGGCAACGACAGTATTGAAGAACAAAATTAGTGCTATGGTATAATATTGGTGCTATGAATCAATGTCGTAGAGAGCTTATTGGTGATATAGAGTTTCTCTTTGATAGTTGTTGAGTCATATTTTTTTATAAGAAACACAAATTAATTATTTTAAAAATTTTATCAATATTTTTTCAATAGCTATTTAAAATTTTAAATTATAAAATTTTAGATGGTTCATAAATTAAAAAATTTTAATACAAAAGTTCTATTTATGTAATTGAATTTATATGATATATAAAAAAATTAAAATGTAATTGAAGTGAGTACTAGTTTGTTCATGCCCCCTTAATTCATCCTTTTATTTTATTATAAAAACTTAATGTGTTTGTAACATATCAAATTATATCACTAATCAAATGAAGTCCAAAATTTCTTTAAGACACTTTAGAAAGGGCTTCAATGTCAATGCCTTTGGCCCCACTTATTGAAGCTTGAGCTAGAGATTATATCTTTTTTCTTTTTATGGATGAACATAGGTTTGAGAATTGTATAATAATTATTTATTAACATACACATACAAGATGAATGCATATAGTGGTGTTGTCATAATTTTTTTCATGTGGGGGCATAATACTTAAATTAATTCTTCAAAATTATAAAAATGTAAATTGCATAACTGATCTTCATGAAACTCTCAATTATCTGTTAGTTGGGATCTTTTGTTTCAACTAGAGGTTTTGTGTTCGAAGGTTGCATAAGAGATCGGTATGTGAGTTTTCATAATTTAGTCAAATATCCCCATATTTAAGGAAAATGGTATTGGTTGTATCTAAGCTTTAATGTGTTAGGTTGTATGGCCCAGTGGGTTGGCAAAACTCATAAGCCTTAAATGCTTCCATTTATAGGACATAACAAAAAAGAAAATTGAAGCCAAAATGAGAACAAAAAAGGATCAAGTTTAAGAAAAATATGTGATGATTTGACTTTGTAAGGGTCTTGCACTGAGCAAAAAACATAAGAACAAGTAGTCTTCATTCTTTTAAGGTATAAGCTCTTTGTTTCAAGACTATATTTATTGTCCCACACACTCCGATTTTATAACCAACATGATGGAACCTATTCAATTTAGCTTCATCAATACATTGAATTTAACCCTATCAGCTTGGTCTATCTATCACTAGCTACAGCCATTAGCCCCAAAGCCAATTTGTGAGTTCCCCACATCATAGACTACACTATACGTGAGATGCTGCATACTACCAATGACCACAACTTCACTATCATCCTCATTTTGAATAAAGGGAAAGCACGCTTGAGATTTATTGAACACGAAAAGTATCCCTGTGGAATCTAAGTTTGTCATCACTTCGCCATCATAGATGAATGACATCTCTGGCACAAACACCATCGGGTAGTTAGAGATGTCATAACATGTGTCAAGATTGTATATTGGCGGTGCCATCGTGTAATTTCTCATGTAGTTTCGAAAAATGTTGCGGAGGATGGAGTATACACTGGGCGGTAGGTAGCTAAATGCTGTGCCAGAGTCCAACATAGTTCCAGGTTCGCTGAATATAGTAGGTGGAAGGCCAAGCCTTTCACCACCAATTGAAATGTCAATGAGATTGAGGAAGTAGTACGATGGCATTTCTGGTTTTGTTAGCATTGGTGTATACCTCACACCAAGGACTGAGCTACCTAATTCAAGATATCCAATTGTATCAGGCCTTGATGGTAGACAATATGAGAATATTTTGTTATACAAATGAGGTTTTTGGTTAATAATTGAAAGAGGTCCTCGGCCGAGGCCTAATATCCCATCTACATGTCCAAAAATTCCGGTATTGTCATGTCCACAACCAAAGACGAAGTCATAAACTATATCATTGGATAAGGTCAAGGAATCTTTAATGAGGGAGCCATTAGTTTTAGAATTGTCAGCATATTCTTGCTCATAGAGGCAGGTGTAGGTAGAGGAGCAATCAAATTGATGGAGTTGGGTACAATAATAAGAGTTGCATGGGATGTTGGTGAAGGTGAAGGATTGGGTTGGGTCATTAATTTTGTTTGTTTGGTTATAACAGTTAACGCAAGGGACACATTGGGTCCAAGTGAGATCGCTACCAGTGTCGAACGTAAATGAGAAGAACTTGGTAGGAATTCCTAGGCCTATGTTGACGATATGACTATAGCGACTAATATCATAATTGATGGTTGCCGGAACTCTTGCAAAAAGAGAGTCGCCAATAGGGTTTAGGCGGGCAGTGGCGTTGGATGTCCGGCGGTGGATGTAGTCTACGCGGGCTTGGTCCTGTCGAAAGAGCTCCACAAGTGACGGCTTGTCCTGGCGCATCCAAGATGAGCATAGGCCATGCAACTGGACCACGTTGAGCTTGGAAGGGCTCGTGCCTGTCACAATTGGAACAACTAATTAATGTACGTATTGAGTTTTTTTTTCTTTTGCATCACTTTTAAGCTTGTGATATCTATCAAATGAGCTTAATTTCTGTATTATTTTTTATTATTCTAATTATTTTATGAAAAAAGAAGTCTCCAATAGGGTATTAAGAAATTATTGAAATTGCTTACAAACCTTTATTAGGCACGGAGCAGGAGTTGCTCAGCAATAGTGACTTGACGTCTATGACATGGTGTTCACCGGCAAGCTTTTGCGCTGATACTAGAAAATGTTTTTCTATTAGAAGAAAAAAGAAGATAAAATTGAGAAGAATGTAATAGAAGAGTAGAGAAGAAGATCTTTCCATGAAAATAGAACTTTGAACCAGTGCTTAGCATAACTTGAAGGAGTAAGCCAAGTGGTGGTGGGGCTTTATAGGCAGTAGATTATTGCGCATAGTGGGATAATTTGGAATTTAATTTGTAATATATCATTATTTTAAGGGAAGATTATATGGTAGAAGAAGAGATCAATTAAGTGTTTTGGCCTATAATGAAGCACACAAATGTCTATTGTTTGGGCTTATTCTTATATTACCAACTTGCTGGTTTTTTTCTCAAGTTTTAGTTGGCGATAAAGTTATAAATTAATTGCATTCCTATCAATCAAATTTTGTTGAAAGGTGTCAGCCATTGGATTTGGAGCTATGTTTGATCGAGTATAAACATAACAACTAATGATGAGTGTTGGAAAGTTAGAATATGCTTGCATTTTTCCCATGACATAACTTGTTATTCTTTAAAGAAAAAAATTCAAAAGTATTTTGAGTGAGAACTTAATTTAGGGCAGCATATAATTTTTTGTTAATTAGAGGATTTTATATGTAATAATTAGATTTTTTACAAAATGGGTAATTTATTTTTAAAATTAGAAAAATCTAACTCACAAATTTAACAAACTTTTAGCTATGTATAGATTCTGATTGTGTTGATAAATCAAGTTGTATTAGAGCATGGGACCTAAATTGTGTTGGTTGAACTCGTTAGGAAGGTTGCACGGGTTCTCTATGTGCTTGGGTTCTAGTGTTTTGTACCCAATTTTTTTCCTTACCCATACAACACTGTGTTGTTGTATAGTCGGGTTGGAGATAGATAGAGAGAGGAGTGTCACAACACTCTAGAATTTGAAATAATTTCTTGGTTAGTCACACAAGAGACATATAGTGGAGTCTTGTGGCACTCCAAACTTTGCAACGCAATGTTGTAAGTCGGACAATGCATTTTATTTCTCACTGAGAGACAAGGAGAGAGTGAGAAAGAAAGAGATATGTACAAATTCTCCCAATATTCATTGTGAATTTTTGTGTTTTGTGGCTCAAGTTTTTTTTTTTTATTTCAAAATTTTCCACATTAAATCCTGACATTTTTTTACTACATTTTCCATTTATTGTTTGTAGACGTAGTGTGGGTTAGTTTCCGAACTCAATCTTTTGAAGAGAAATTTCACTTAAAATAAAATTGCCAAGTTATTTGAGAAAGGGCTAATTGTAAATAGAAATTGGAATGGCACTTAGTGCAATTCCCCAAAATGGAGTTTGTCACTTATATGAAAATCTGATGCAATATTGTAACTTAAATTATTTCATATAATATTTTAAAGAACCAATTTTAGTGGAGATTTTGGATATTTAGTTTTATTGTACTTTAAAATGAACCAATTGTAGCGAAAATTTGGGATATTTAGTTTTATTGCATGTTCCTTAAATGCATGTGAATAAAAATTTAAATATAAGAATTCATATTATGATAATTTAAATTATATTTTCTATGATAAAAAGATAAAATTATTAATTTTATCCCTATAAGTAATTCAAATTATTAATTATATTAGTGAAGTATAATATTTTTTTAACTTTGATCAAAAGAGTGGATAAAAAATAACCTTCTTACTATTTTAAATTGGAAGCTCATTAATCAGGAATTGAGCTTTTCCTTTATGCAAGTGACAGAAGAACATATTGTAGAGAACAGATGGATTATGTACTCGATCATAATTAGCTAGACAAGTTGAAAACTTATAAAGTATTGAATTTGCACTAAAAATATTAGCTAAGTCTAAATTCTTATAATCAAATGGACAGACAAAATATAATGCGTTATGGAATAAATGGAGCAGGGCCAGGGCTAATTAAATTTTCATATAC